TTTCTTAAAGCATGGAAAAAAAACTTTAGAAAAGCCTCTAAAACAAAATTTGGTTCTAATCCTTAATTAAAATATAGCTTCTATACAGTTCCCTTGGCCCCCAAAGACCATGCTCTTTATTTTAAGCAGATTAGTCAGAGCAGAGCTTGAGCCAAATATGACTACAGGTTTTGCCTCATATTATTAATGTTTGAATATAGCTCTTTCTACCCACTGAGACTTTAAGTATCACAGAGGGGCGACACTTTACCCAATTCATTTTACACTCTCATCACCCAGAAAAATGTCTCACACACAACAGATATGAAAAACTTGTTTACTGTATACATAAATAAATAATCTTAAAAAAAAAAAGTATAACCAGGCCTATTAAGGGATTGCAAAAGAGAGTGAGGGAGAGAAAGGAAATGGCCCAGGTGACACTCAAGTTTATGGTTTAAGCTTCCAAGTTAATTAATGACTCTGAGGAGAAGCAGGTTTGGGGGTAGGGCTTGTGAGTTGTTTTTGGACACACAACCTACAACATCCATGAGATATTAGGATGGAGATGTCACATAGGTAACTAGATATACAAGGTGGATGTGTTCTAGTGGTAAATGTCTGAGAGTTCTCAGCAGGCTGGTGATGTCTGAAGTCAGGCAAATGGGAAGAACTCTCCATGGGACAGGACAGAGTAAACAGTCCCCAAGGATCTCACAAACTGCATTATTACTTGGTGCTGGCATTTGTGAATAATGTCTACACTGATGCTGCTGAACCTTAGAGCAGTATTCCCTGGAGACTCATATGACTCTTGGTTCTCTGTAGACTTCACTGGACTGAAGCCAGGTTTCAGTGTATGGGGAAGTAGAGCAAATCCTCCCTTCTTTCAGTGCTTCAGTGGGTTACTGAAGTCACAGAGCAGGCACATGGCACACCAGTGCTCAGGACAGTAATGCCTGCAAGTCCCATTCTTGTCCCCACAAGCTCAGAAAGCAACATTTGAGCCAGACCCTGGCTATTCCCATCAGACCAAAGAAACTAACTTCATTTACAAGCCCTTCTGCATGCATTCTGCATACCTGCCCAAGCTCACCTGAGACTCCAGCTGAGTTCCCTCCACTGCTACACCACCATCACCACCAGTGCCTCACAATTTGAATCATACAAATTAAAGGTGTTTCCCCACCTTTAGCATCTTCTTCATCTAATTAATGACTTTTATAATGACAACTAGACTATGATATGAGTCTAGGAATACAAAGGGTAGGACATCTGTCCTTAATTTGATAAGTAGTGGGTTCGCCCCTTGGTTGGCATATCACAATAGGAGTAGTATAAGCAAAAAGTGCCCGACCAACCCTCCAGTGAGATCTTCATGCCATGACACCAATGAAGGGGGAGGAACCACAAGGAGATGATCTAATAGGAACGTATCTGTGGGCAATGCAATTATGGCAGTGATCATGAGGGGGACCCTACGATCATCACGAAATGGATAGAGGTAAGAGCGGAAGTGAGCTCCATAGTCAGTCTGCCTGTGGCAGGGGGTCACGCCCACACCAGCCTGTGCCAGGCTTCAAAGAATAAGAACAAGAAAGACATGTAGGAAGGCTTACTAAGCACCAACTGGTAAGGGGACCAGCTAGAAGCAGACAGAATGTTATGGAGAAGGAAGGACAGTGTTTCACTGTTTGCACCAGAACTGGAGGAAGTTTTTACTGATCCATTTAGCCTGAGTCTTAAAGGATGTACATGCAGTCTCCAGGTGGGCTAGTTCTAAGGGAAGAATTCTAGGCTAAGGGAGGAGCAGATTTGAAAGCATAGCAGTGGCGAAGTGGATGTGGGGTCTGGGATGATATTCTCCTAGAATGTAGAACACAACACTGGGGATAGACTGTTGGCAGGCTGCTGTCCTAAAGGGAGCTGGAGTTTTCTGTGCCTACCTGTTTACTCTGCGTATGGAGATCCAGGATGTTAGAAGTTCTGCAAACAGAACTTCTTCCCAGAATTGACTCCTGTTCTTTGAGGACATCCTGGCTTATGTGCATGTTTCCTGCTATCTAGAAAAAACCTGTTTCAGCAATAACTTACTAATTTGTATAAGCATAAACACACTTGCATGCTGTTTTCTAGTTTCTTTGTTCATATCATTAATAAGAACTTGGGCTGGGAGGGTGAAAGACAGAGTTGCCCTCTTCTGCGCTCTCCCAGCCCCCGCCCCCCCCCCAAGTTCATTTAGGCTCCAGGCTTCGTTAACAGCTGAGAACTTCTGGGTCTTCTTATGTGGCTCAGAAGCTCAAGTTTCAGTGCTATCAGGCTACAAACAGCCACAGCAGCATGAGTTTGATCCCCCACAAGGGAGTGACCCACATGGCACTGCAGACTTCTGTCTTGCCCACTGCTCCCCTCAGCAGTGCATTTCACTAGAGATGCCTGTTCTGCTTCCGACTGTCTCTAGTGAATCCTCTCACCCCTCTTTCCCCCCGCATCTCTGGTCTACACCCCGACTCTTGTATGCATAAGTAAAATAAAATAAATCTTTAAAAAAGCTGAGAATTTCTCATTGGCTGTCTGCCACACTAGATGGGGTGGGAGGTGATTTTAGGCGGCCTGCCAATCCTACATTCAATAACAAGGACACAGTTAGAATTGAGAAAATTGTCTGTTTTTTAATTCCTTTCCATTCTTTCCCAGGGGAATTTCTGAGTTGGCAACTAGGATGTTCATCTCTTAAAACCCTATCTTCCTTCCAACAACCCAACAGGTTCAGACAAAGGTTTCAAAGATAACAGTATCTGTGCTTAGAATTGAATCTTACTTTGCCTTCATTATCATTAAGCTTATCTTCTATTTATGGCAAAAGACCGTCATTTTCCATTTATAGTAGTGATGTGAAATTTTCTAAAACTTAAGTTTAAAAAGTGATTTAAATGCAAATATAGAAAAACATTAAGGAGTTCATGACACAAGTGATAAACACAGTAAGAATTATGGCTATGGCATGCGAATACCTAAGTGTTAAAAACACTCTGCAGGAGAGTGTTTTACTTAGCTGTGTTGCTATCTCTTCCTTGTTCAGAGATCAAGTTTAAAGCCAGGAAGACAGTTTCAGTTCTTTCTTCAGTACTTTCTAGCCGGGTGGCCTTGGATGAGATTTCTAATCTTTTCTCTATATCTTACTTCCTTATAAACATATAAGGAGGATCCATTGTACAGGAATGAAAAGATCAGAAACAACACATGCATGTCCTAAAATTATTTTTAACCTCCTTTATATTTCCAACAAGCTTTCCAAGGTTAACCAGGATTCACTCTGACCTAGTTTCTCTTCTTGAGACATTATGTCTGCTGTAATTGGGGTTTCAGAAAGGAATCAAATATATTATTTGCCTTCCTTTTGCCATTAACTTATTAAAAATCCAACACTCTCAGGCCTTCCCAAATGATTGTAAACTGGGGAGGGGAACCACCAAGTTCAAGTCCAAGGATCCATGTTAAATTCTGATGTTCTTCTGAATGCATTTTGTAATATTTAAACATAAAAAAATAATACTCAGTACAAGCAATAGCAACACCTTTTAAAAAATCTGCAATATTAAGAAAAGGAAAAAGATCACTACATGTAGGTTCTACATTCCAACCCTATTTTCTTAGGCACTTCCCCCCCTCATGGCTCACAACTCAGCCACCCCAACTCCCATGAGGGCTGAAGAAGTCCATGAACTTGGACCGAGAATAAGAGAGATAACTCAGAGCACCTCCACCTGTGTCTTGACTGTCTACTTGCAAAGCAAACACGTGCTGAGATTTGGAAATGAAGAGATTTCCTTGTGATCCTGACATGTACCTAAGAGCCAACAAGACCAGCCCAGCTCCCTTAGGGAGAGTCTGTTTGCATTTCCAGCTCTTATAAAACCATTCATGCATGTCATTAGGGCAATTTCCTCTCAAAAAGCAGTAATGAGTTTTATTTTTCCAAATTATGCATCAACTTTTTAAGAAACCTATCATTAGAGGATTTTCTGTCCATTGACCTCTGCTTTTACTTCCTGGAAGTGTTTTTATTAAGTAGGTCATCTCATACAAATACAGGACACAGCTAATATCTCCCACACAGTTTTGCAGTTCTGGTTGCAAACATGATGTGCAAGCAATCTGTGAGTCTGAGTCTTTGATGTGGCTCAACATCAGTCCTTTGCCACTATTGTGCTTCCTTCAGAAGTTACTTACCAGATTTAAATGGATCAGATACGTTAAATGGATCAGCCACGGTGACTTCTAACAATTGTTACAATTTAGAAAGGCAGTTCAGAAATGCCTTGTTCATAATTATAAGAGATAGAATCATACAAATCTTAAAACAGAAAAACAAAGGCATGATTTAAAATAATGCCTTCTGATCTGACATTTTAGCAGTTTTTTTGTTTTTTGTTTTTAATGTTCACATAGCACATGCTAATGGCTACTACTAGAAATCCTAACTTTGGATTGGCTAAGATTGAAAACTACAATGTCCCTCCCCCTCTCTCCACCAGAAAAAATGACTACTTCTGAATGATCTTCAAAGCTCATTAATGATACTCTAAGGCTACTCATAGGTACAGTCCACACCAGGTTTTTTATTTTGCAAATCCTGGTGATGATGTTAACATACCCATAAGCCCATATAAGAAAACCAGTGTATTTCCAGGACCTGTTACTTTGTGAAATATCAGTAGTCTTAAAATTTATATTTGAAAATGGTCAAGGAGTCTGCAATTGAATGAGAATTCAGTAGGTTAGCCGTTCAGAAGAAATAAAAGCACATGGTTTTATTATAGACCTTCAGCTTAATCACAGAATTCAAATAAATTCTCACATGCCTGCTTGGTCCTGATTGCTAAGTCTGAACAGCTGCAAACAAGAGCTGACTGGCCTATAAACATGTAAACTAGCAGAGAAGAACTCACCAAATGACGGTGAAGCAACACACCACACAAATATCCCTTAACCTTAAGACAAGACAAACGAAATGATACCTGTTCTTCCGCTCTTTGGTTTCTCAGCATCGATAAATATTTCCTAATAGCATGGACAGGATATTTTTTGAAATAAGTGAATCTAGACTGAGGCAACAGATTATCCATGGTGCCGAAAGCAGCAACGGTCTCTGCTCCTCCCAGTCAGCCACCGAGTGAAATTTAGAAGCTTCACAGTTCCTCGGGTGATTAAAGATTTACTTGTAGCGCGACCACTTTCCTGTAAAGATCTTCTTGCTCTTTCCTGTTTTGAGTAGAGTTCTTGGTGAGACCAGACCGCCAAAGTATGAGCACTGTCTAAAAAGCCTCCAGAAATTCAATGCCCAAAGGGCAGTAAGAGCCAGGAGGAATTTAAGGGCTGGTCCACAGAAAGCAGATTGCTTTAGTGGTAGTGAAGTGACTGTCCTATTTCTAGCAACAGTTTTCTGTTGCAAGCTATGTTAATATTAGCTAGCTGATGACTTTCCACACCCACAGATTCTCAGGAGGTTTAATCTTAATTCTCTGACATCTTTCTAGCTCTTAAAGAGGACATGACATGTGGCTTTTCCTGTTTCCTCCCGGATTTCTTATCCTCTTGAACACATGCAGTATCTCTCTCTAGGGTGTTGATTAATTCAGTCTCAAGAAGCATTGTCTTAGGGAGCTTCTAAAAAATGGACAAATTACCTTTTCATTGTTATCAAGGAGTTCAATGTCAGCACTGAAAGCATTTGGTTTACACTGTCATGCATTATGCAGTATGCCCAGCAACAAGATCCTTTACATTAATTGAACAATAGCTGCAAACAGATTCTGTTCTGAGTTAAAAGGCTTCTCTCCTTGAATCCTTATCTCAAATCCACAGGCTGAATCCAGAAACATTACATTTCCTCCGGCTTTATTCTGGGTGTACAGGAGAAAAGACCGTTACACATTTACTTTCTAAGTATCAAAAGGATTCATCTAAAAAAAAAAAAAAAAGAAAAAGAACATAAGAGGTCTGTGGTCTTAGAGGACATGCAGCCATAAAATTTGAAAGTTCGATATATTCTTAATATGCTATAGAATTTACGGGGTTTCTGAAGAGTCCCTTTTAACTCTTCAGTGGTTGGTTCATTCCATGGAAACGTTTAGCCACTTCTGTGCAGGGCTATCATGTAGGGTCTAGACCAGGCATCCACCAGAAACCTGAGGGATTTGCGT